CTAATCCATTAAACATTAAATTCTTCTGATTTTCTCTTGATAGCATCTCACTCGATTTCCTGATGGACCACCTTAATTCTGCACCAATTACTGGCATCTTACTAGCCATTGCTATGGAAAAATAAAGTGGTACAGCTAAGAAAATATTTTGCATGTAATTTGATGCTGTATATCTTTTTACATGCTTATCTGCAGGATGATTCAGACAGATTACTGTCCGAATTTACTTGGTTATTTGTAAGTATTCAAACTCTTAATTCCAGCCTCACTTCCTTTTAGTTTGTATGTTAATGACTTGAAGCCAGTTTTGGATGATTTAGATACATACAGCCCAATCACAGAAATAGAAGGGTAAGTACTGCTATGCGTGGCCTCTATAGACAATTGGTCCTGCTAAGTGAACTATGCTAAAATATTCAATTATCATGCTGGCAGACATTGGACACCAGTTCTGTCAAATTACTTATTTACCTGCAGGTCAATTTTGCAGCTAGTTTACCTTGGAAGATCCACGAAGGAGTGAAAGTGCTTAAAATTAGATGCCGCATGGGTACTTCATTAACTTTTTTTCCTGATGGCTATACTAGTAGGTCATTGGTAACATCTACCTTAAAAATTTCCCAGGTTAATTGCAGCTAAGCTAATTGCAGCTAAGATACAGCATTTTGGGGCTTATCTGTCTATATGTTTGAATGGAATTGATAGTTATGAGGAAGAATTTGGCTCTGTCAAAGGCATTTTCCCTCTAGGAATATGGAATGGCCATTTATTTGGGAACTTTCATTCTTGTAAGAGCATGTCAGTTCTGCCCTTTGTTTGATTGGTAGAGCACAGGGGCCTTTTGAAGATCTCCAGGTGTTTGAACCCTTTGTTAGCCAATTCTTTATCAAAAGCCCATGGAAATTGCTTTAAAAATATGCAGTTCATCAATTCTTCCAGATATTTTAAACTTTGTCCTCAGAGGAAGCCAGATCATAAAGGAGCTATCTAACTAGTCTTTAGCATAGCATAATAAGCTTTTGGTAAACTGCAATTTGGCCATATGCCATTAGTTTACCATAAGGTCTCTATAAGAAAATGACTTAAATCCATAAGTGCATGCATTTATTTATAGCTACAAGTTATTGAATGCTTATTCTCTGTCAGGCATCATGCTAGGTACTTTCAGTGCATTGTGGAAATAAATGAAGATCAGCCAAATGAGGATAAGCAACAGCTATTTATTCAGAGCTTGCTGTAGCAAGAGAGTCAACGACCATCACTGGCACTTGGCAGAGATTCAAAAGCAGGCAGAGGAATGGGAAAACTTTAACAGTAGAAAAAAGGGAAGGCTTCAGGGGTGCCGATTGGAGGCTGTTGGCCGGGGGAAGCTGGAGATGGCTAACTAGAAGCGAGGCATTCTGTGTGATTGGTTAGAAGAGCATATTTGGCTATCTCTAGTTGGTCCTAAGTTGGAAGTGGAGACAAAAATGAGAAAAACTGTCAGTTGTTGATCATATCCTGCTGGTTCTGGGTGGATAGCTATAGAGGTTGTGCTTTGGCTTCCTGAACTGGTTGGTGCAGATTGTGGTTTGGCTTCCCAGGCTGTTTGCTGCAGGTTGGGGTCAGAGTTCTATTTTAATATATGGTCTGGCTGCTATTTGTATATTTGGTCTCTCAGTATCATTTAAATTTAATCTTCCCAACTGTCCCATGGAGTGTATGCTATTCCCATTTTACACATCAGGGTACTGAAGCGCAGCTAGGCTACACAACTTGTAAATGGCGGTAATAGGATTCAACCCCACGTTTGTCTGATTTTTTTACCCTAGTGGTTTTGCTCCCACACTATAGATCATCTAGGAAGGCTATTTGGAAATTTCCCATATAGCACACTGTACAGCCTTAAGCATCTACTCTACAGAACCTTGACAGGCATTTTTGTATTTTTACTAACTTCCTGACTTTATTCCCTCGTTTATTTAAATTTCACTATGATTTCAACTATTTACTTTTACACCATTGTAATATTACATTTTAAATAAAAGGCCTAAAATTCTTTTGGATTTATATCTCATTGAGCTATAAAGAAAAAATAATAATAATAATGCCACTCTGAAATTCTGTAATTACTTTTATTTAATCTTGGCTGTTTTTTTCCCGTGTTATTTGCCTTTATTAAATTTTCAGTATTATGTTCTAGTGTACACACTGCTTATGTTATGAAATAACTAAAGAAAACCTTATATTTAAACTCTCCTCTGGTGCTTCTAAACACAGAGATTAAATTTTACCCTAGGTTTGCACAGCTAACACACATTTAGCTTTGGTGTAGATAATCAAATGTTTGAGGAAAAGGAGGGAGACTAAAAGCAGTTAATGAAAGTTCATAATAAAGCTGTTTGTAAAATTCCATTAGTTTGTCCTTCTGCTTTGAACGGAACAGGATGTGACACACAGCTTGCAGAATCTCTGAGGTCCGTTTGTTGGTGCTCCATAAATATATCTCTTTTCACTGTCCTTCAGATTCTGTTCTGAAATTCTAAAGTTACTTCTTGCTTGCATTAGAACCAAAAAAAAAAAAAAAAAAAAACCCGTCGCTGACGAGTCGATTCCAACTCATAGCGACCCTATAGGACAGAGTACAACTGCCCCACAAGGTTTCCAAGGAGCAGCTGGTGGATTCCAACTGCCAACCTTTTGGTTAGCAGCTGAATGCTTAACCACGGCACCACCAGGGAAGGTGTAAGCTATTTTCTAATAAAAATCATTAGAAGCTCCTCTTCTGTACCATGCTGTCTTTTTCTAGATGGCCCACATTCCTTTGTCCTAATAGAGGACATGGTATCAAATAGCTATTCAAAAGGAACATTTTGCCTCCGTTTTCCCACTTGCTCTTTTGGCTGTGTGGCATCAAGGTGCCAAGTTTTGTGATCTCATCACATTTTTTCACTCTGGCAATGCTTTTGTTGTTGATTTCAACTTTTGCTTTTCTTTTCTTTTTTTGGTTTTGTTTTGACTTGCTAGGTCTTGTCAAGGAACTCATCTTACACTTGTAGCTACCTTTGCCGTTCGAAGCACCCTCCTCTAGCAACAGTGATGCTAACAATTTCAGGGTTTAATTAGCTGAGACATAGAAACCATTTGCCACTTAAATTCCCAGACAGCTGCTTGGCAAAATGAGATCTATTAGATTTAGGGTAAAGGTGGAGGAAAAAGAAAAACAAGTTCGGTATTATTTCACGCTAGTTGGGTATTATGTGAGAACGTTAACTGTTTTCACTTCCCTACTTCCATATTCACACCATTAGTGCAGCTCAAGCAGATACAGGAACAAGAGAGTAAGTGATCTTTAAAAAACACACACACACACATTTCAAATTATACACACATAAATAAAAGTCTTGGGCAAAGATTTATTTGCTTGCTTTTCACATCATACTAGCTCCTTTGTCGACTAAGATGGTCTCCTCTTGTTATAATTTAGGTATCTCTTATGGATCTCTTCCTTTTTCAGGGATTCAGAATCAAATTTATAAGAATATTGGTGGGCTTGGCACATCAAGCTTTTATGTAAACTTTTAACAGACTGAGTATTTGGGAGTGGGAGGATCTCAGGGAGGAGAGAAAACTATTCATAAAAAGTAAATCTAATGTTTCGGTATTGTCTTATAATATACACACACAGGAAGGTTAAATTCCTACAACACGACATTCTTGTGGTTCTGAAGGTGGTCAGCTCCTTTTAGTTATTTTTCCCTCATGTATCTCACGTGTAGAAACATTTTTCTTATTAAACAGAGTGAATTTATTAAATGATAATTCAGCTTCCTCTTTTTCTTCAACAATAATGTGTAAGAAAGCCTGATCAACATGAGATAACAGAATCAATAGTGTTCTGGCAGAAGACGAAAGAATCCAATGATGAAACCTTACAGTGGGTAAAAACATGATTTTCCTTAGACTATTGCAAATATTGAACACAGAATACAGATCCCCACTACCGTCTCTTTGGCACAAGGGGACCAAATAGGAGGCCTTGAAAAGAAAGTCAAGGGAGTAAGGAAACCATGAAAAGTAGAGAATTCAGAGTAAGCGAGGGTTGGCGGAGGACCTGCCACGGGCCTCATCTCTGTGGCATCCTCACCAGACTATCTGCGAGTTTTTCAAATTGTGTGTTACTTGTGTGCATTTAACCTCGCTCACTAAAACCACCCTTCCCACCCTCCAAGTTTCAAGTCCAGTGTGGTCTGTTAGGTTATAACAAATGCTTCTGTGGCCTCAATTAGCTCATCTGCAAACAGTCAACAGGATAATGAACTCAGTGTAATGTGGAAGTTGTTCTGGTTGCCAGGCAAGGGGTTCCAGAAAAGTAAAACTAAAAATTTAACTGTTAGCAGGAAATAAGAAAAGTCTTCAGTCATTTCAGCTCTATTTTTAAAGAAACAAAAGGAGCACCTGCACTGGGGCTCCTCCCCAGAGAGGCATCTCCCCAGTTTTGCATGACTCTGGGCTCTGACAGGTTGCACCTCCTCCTGTGCTCAGAGCTTCTCTTCCATCTGTTTTGCCCAGCATCCAGAAGCTAACATTTCTACTT